ACTTGAACTCAGGCAAAATAGAAGAGCGGATCATTTGTTCCATCTATCATCCTCGGGATGGACCTTTCCCAACGTGCGGCTTTTCTTCGTGGGAAAACCCCCCTTCGCACTTAAAGAACCTATCGTGTGGCGGCCGTTGTTTGAATTAGACGGCCCTATTTCAACCACAGGCTCAGAAGTCTTCACCTCAGGCTTCAAATGCTCGTTGGGCATATCACCTATAAAGATTGCCTTAGTCCTCTTCTTCATGGCCTGGCAAAACTCGAGCCTCCTCGCTAATGGATTTAGAAAGTTATCCACCCTTCATGCTCAACACCACTAAGACGATGAAAGACCAATACAAAGAAACGCCTGAAAGATAAGCCCTAACATCTCGTTTTCTTCATTTATAATGGTCTTGGCACAAAAATAAAAAAGCTGTTAATTATTGTGCATTAAATAGTCATGAATACCACAAACTTGTTCAAAAAAATCTACATTCACTTGTGTTTATCACAGTTGTAGCTATCAAGAAGCAAGAAAATCAGGAAACTTTAATATGTACATAAAAAAATATACCACAAATCTCAAAGATACCTTAGGACCAACATAAGAGGTGACGTGGTATCATGGGACCACACGCTTAGTTGACCAGCTCCTTTATATCGAAAAATTAGTACTTATCAAGCTGAATACGAGCAGATTATCTCAAAAAAATCTATCTGATCAGACTCACGCGAACGAGCCCATTGCCTACTCGGTCAGGTCGGGTGAACATTCGTCTGGTTTCAGAGCAATTGGTATCGGCCCTCAACTAATGGCTGCTCGGCCTAACAGCAGTCGGCTTAATGGCTGCCCGGTCCAAGGGTTGCCCGACCTAATTATGCCCGGTCGAGATCATCTGGCATAATCGCGGCCCGGCAAAATGATTGCCCGACCTAATGGCCATTGAGCCCTTTTCGTTCGAACATTCGTGGGCCCGATTATGCCCCCGTCGTACCTATATATTTGTGCATCCTCATTCTTATAAATAGGGGTACATTTCATGAATAAGGTTACGCAATTTTATTGTACACTAAGCTCTCTGCTCCCTCTCTCTTTCTGACATGTTCTATTACTTATGCGTCTAACAAATAGATTGTGATTCAACAAATACAATATGCACATTTCAAGAGTGATCGCTATAATCCCCAGGTGACCATGACATCATACAGACAGAGTTCAACCTCAGGTTCTTACAGATAGTGTACACCCAGGAGAACATCCAAGTCAACCTTGCCTGAGGAGACATTAGATCAAAAAGAACATATGGAATCAACCGCATTCCCAAGTTTACCTCGGCATGGAAGGTTTTAAGTGCCACAAATTTGAGCATATTGAACCAGATTGTCAACCAGATGAATGATCTATTTCAATGATCAGCGAGTTATTGAAGAAATGGTCAATGACATGACAAACAATGAAGAAGGTAAAGACACAAAGAAGTACCCAATACCAACTGATAAGAAAAAAATGCACATAATTCAAGCTGAGATTGTGAGGGATACCCCAACAGAATTAACAATAGTTCTAGAATCTAGTGAGTCCTACGAGCCTATACCTGAAAAGGGACAACCACTAATGGTAGATTTACCAGACAGTCTGACCGACATTTCACCTATTGGGTGGTTACCCCTAAAAGTGGTCTAACATGTTAGAAATGATAAGTTTATGAGCTACTGTTGGAAGACTATATGGAGTTATTCGGATATTAAATCAATATAACAGTGTACCTACCAACAGGTGGCCAGACAGAAAGAATGAACTACAACTTTGAAATTTATCTTACGAGCTTGACAGGAAAGAAAATTCTTCAATGGCATTCAAGTCCTACCATAGAAGAAGAATATATCTCTTGTAAGTATGTGTTAGTGAGTCGCTCGACCTGGCAAAAAATTCATCCTAAAGTGGAACCATCCTTACATACTTTTTTATCATATACGCCCAATGGAGCACGAGAAAAGTAGTTCATAGATGTAATAGCTTAAGATTTGATTCGTGAGAATACTCGTTTATCTTCAATGTCAACTCGGGTTGTGCTAAAAGAAGGTGAATACCTATTCTACTAGGATGTGTTTTGGAATGATGACGCTTACACGATTGACTTATCGGGAGATTGCAAAAGTTCCACTACCTTTAAGGTGGTCAGCTTAACGTCATACTACGAGGAGTGACAAGCTTTGATAGTTGAGATCGAAGCTCCCCAACCTTGGGAGATTGACGCGAGCGTCACACCCGCAATGTGGGATGACGCAAGAGTCACGTCCCGCAATCCTAGAAGCTTCAGGCGTCCCCACCCACGATGAGAAACAATGCAGGAGTCATGTCCCGTGACCACCCTGAACGCACGGTTGCAGCTTGACCAATCCAACAGGTCCGATCAACACTTTCTTTAAGTGGATTTCCCACTTATTTGAATTCGGGTCCACTCATATTTGCTCTGAGTCTATAAATATGTTGTTTTCGTGTTGCAGGTTAGTTTTGATGTAAGTTTTCTATAGGTACAGCCGTCGACGTCCTCATTCTCCCTTCTAGAGTTGTATCCAATAGCAAGTGGTGCTTCAATTATAGCTCGTTCTCGTTGGGTATTTATCTCCGACTTTTCCATTCTCTACATTCTTCCCTTCAATCTTATTGTTGATCGTGGTTATTCGCTTTACTGCCATCGATGTCCCTACTCTCCACCTTTGTTGTCGCAGCCCCGCCAATCATTTTTGTTGTTGTTTACCACTGTCTAGCCACCCTCCATTAATGCAGTCACTCCCATTGATGCAACGCCCCCAAAAAGCCTCCCGATTGTTGTTTTCTACAGTACCAACAGCTGACAACTCCTTCCCCTCCTTCTACTTCGCTGCCACCGTAGTTCCAACCCTCCACCTTTTGCTGCCGCCACCCATAAATCCATCGCCTTGCTGTTTTACAGCTGTCCGACCATCCCACACCGCTGCCGCAGCCTATAACAGCACTTTCCCTGCTATTTACACGTTGTACATCCCCTCACCCATGTCGCCACTTCCCAGGAGAGACCGTCGTCTCACTGTTCCTGTAGTTTGTCACGTCCCCTTTGTTGCCACCATCACCCCCCTTGCTTCCGCTCCACCATCTAGCCTTCTAACAGCCCTTTTGCAATCTCTCCATCCAAACCCTCGCCAATCGCCACCCCCACCTCGAGATACACCCTAGTTGTGTGACGTGAGTCAAGTTGCTATTATTTCCTATTCCAGTGTGTCGCATGTCGTGTTTGTTGTCGCTTTCCCTTTCAAATGTGTTGCTTGTAACCATCTATTGGCTTTCTTTGGTAAAAATATTGTTTGCTTATTGTTGTTTTGGTTAACTCTGGTATCAATAACTTTCTAAAAATCTAACAAAACAAATACTTTCTTTCTAACATTTTAAAAACGATAACAAAAACTAAAGATAAACAATGATGTCGAACAGCCCTAATACAATCCGACATCATTATCCTTATCCTTGTTATTTGGATTCAGCCAATTCCTTCTCCTTTCACTATTGTGATTAAAACATGTGTAATTATATTTGCACATATGACTATTATTCTATGGTTTTCACAAGCATTATGTTTAGTAGCAGATACAAAAGTAATCAAGATAGCCAACTTAAAGATACCATGATAAAATAAATATAAGCTTATCGGGGCTGTAAAAATATATAATCGATGAGCGTGTTTTTCCCAAGTTCAACAGTAATGACAACTAATGAAAAGAAAAGGAAGATTTACATGCATAACACTCAGTTCTTATATATTTATATATCTAACATCTAAACTTTAGTATTTACATACATGCCACCTTACCTATGCATTAAAAGATGTATTTCACTATTAACAGAAAGAAATGGTGGTTTTTTTGTGATATAAAAGATTTGAGTGGTATAAATGTACAAAGTAAAGTTTAGGTGCAATGTTTAAAATGGCGCAATTGGGCATTGATACGTTTTTCATTGGTGAGGAGAGGCTAAGCCGCAAGGCGTTTTGTGGAGTAAGCCTCAATTTAAAAATATTGCATAAATTAATAAATATTGTGTAAACTATAATATGAAGTAAGAAATAATATATTTACATTCTAATTTATTAAAAAATTAAAAAGTAATATAATAACATTCTAAGTAAATAAAAAATTAATAACATTAATATCCTAACATCAAATTATAAAATAATATGGGTTATGCATACATAAAACTATCAAAGTAAGCAAAGATATTAAAATAAAATAATAAAATATCAAAATATAAAAATCAAAATAAGCTCGACATTAATCTTTCACTTTTACATATATGCCCCCTATTAAACAAAAGCATAACAAATCATCAACACTTGAATTTTATTTTTAAAACCCTTATTACTCACATAACAATTGATTTTTATTAGAATTATTGGCATAATAAATTGTTTATTTCATGCTTTTATCATTAGTTGTATCTATGTTATTTCATTCATTAATATCTTTAATATCAGTTATTTTTTATTTTTTAATGAATAATCATCGGTAGAAATATTAATTAAAAATAATAATTATGTTGATAATTAGAATTTCACCTGCATAAGTTTTCATGGATAAACTTTCCTTTTATTTCTTGGTATTTAATATGTGAGGTGTGAAAGTTAATATATGAGGTATATTAATGTTATTTTTAATTTTATTTAAAAAAATTATGGATATTATCAAATTTTTGAAGCATTTTTTGAGGCAAGGCGTGCCTTGAGGCAAGCCTCAATCTGAATGAGGCGCACGCCTCACTTTGGGGCAATGAGGCGTAAGCCTCAATGCGATTTTTCTTTTTAAATTGCATTGAGGCAGGCCTCAAGGTGCGTCTCCTATTGTGCAATTTTAAACAAGGTTTAAGTGTATATGCAAAAAAAAAAAAGAATTGGGTGGTATGTATGTAAATTCTGAAAAAGAAAAAAAATAAAATAATATGCAATGAGTTAGAGAAGTCAAGTAAATCTTATTAGAAGAACATACCTCGCCCAAAAAATAGCTCACTGTAGAAAGAATAACTGAAGCCAAAAGTCCAGCAATAGTCCCTTCAACACTAACAGCACCTTCAGTGCCACGTGGGACTACCTTAAATGTTGTTACAAGATACCTGTCTTTAAACAACCAAAATAGCCATAACTAAATCACTAAGAAAATCATCGCGCATATGTTCAAGGCAATATACATATTTGTTAATAAAGGACGGCCTGCCGCTTTTTGAATTAATAGTTTATGCCATTGAATAAGCAACTAAATATATATTATCTACAAGGAAAGAAACTAACATAAATGGAATTTAATTAGTCTGTCAAATATTTACCAAGGAACTATCACATATTCAACAGGAATTTTAGAATGTTGAATAGACATGGTTATAATATGGAATTCTCAAAACCAGTTGCAACTACGGTGTGATATAAAAATTGGAGATTTTAATTTTTATTAAATTTTGATCTTGCTAGTGGGTAATATTTTCATATCTTTTCATCATGGTTGGCAGTAATCAAACAATTTAAGTTTGGCCTTTTAATCCATCTTCTATAAAGCCCATATACATTAAGATGATAGAGATTGGTGATTCCTTGAACCAATAAATCAACTCAAATTAATCCCAAAAATTTCAGCAACATAAGCAAAACAGCCAGACAAAGATTGTATTGTTGCAATTTATTGCCACAACATGTAATCAAACTCCTTAAACTTTTAAAATTTTTGAAAACCATATGCAACAAGGGCCCAACTCCTAGAGCCGGAACTTTTTAAGCTTAAGAGGAAAATTATGGCCCACATTTGCGGTGCTCTCAATTGTCTGCTGCTAAAAGATTTGCCCATATGGGTTAACCTTTTTATGTGTTTGCAGCTTCAGAAATAAATTATGGGGGCAAAAATTGATAAAAGAGGCCTCAAAACTTAATACTCATATTGCAAATGAATTTCCCAATCGCTAATATCAATCATGCTAACATCATTGCAATGGCCATAGAACAAAAAGAAAAAGCATGAAGAATAAGCCCCGGTACCATTTAAAAGCTCAAGGAATTTTTTTCTTCAAAAAAATAGATAAATAAAAGGGGAACAAATCAACCAGTGCTACAAAACATGCCCCTGAAAAAACAAATGGCTCATGGAAGTTTTATGATATTTGTCAGATACCAGATCATTCTAATGATAAATACCGGAAAATGCACCCCTGTGAAGCATGGATACGGACACAATACGATACGGGGACACGATATAATTGAAAACAAATAGGACAAAACACATAATGAGCACGTTTTTTTATATTTAATTAATTATTAATATAAAAATATATATTTTTCTATTATTCTTTATTAAAAATAACACAACACAAATTATACAATAATAAGATTTAATAAATAATAATATAAAAATATATATATTTTTATATTATATTATAAAATCTCATAATTATGAAAATTAATTTTTAAAATTAGACATAATATGTTTCAAAAAAGTTCATCCAACTTATAATCCAACTTATCTCTAAAATTAAAAAAAACCCATGAGTACAAAAAGGGAATTACTAATGCTCGGCTTTAACAATATTAGATGCACTTTCGATGCTCGATTTTGATGAATGTTAGAGGAAGCTTCAACATGACGAAAGATGGCGCAGTTTCGACTATAAAGTGCAACTAAGGTTGTATGTTATTTATAATTTTCTTGTTTTCGTATCTCATTTTATCGAAATAGTGTTAAGCTCGTGTCCGATGTAGTGTTGAGATGTGTCTCAGACGTGTTCACGACTGAAAAAAATTCAAACATATATTTTATAGTATCAAAAAAGTGTTGTCCAGGATGTGTTTTGAGCCTGAAAAAAAAATTCATACATATATTTTGTAGTATCGAAGAAGTGTCAGAGTGTGTTAAACAAGTGTCGGTGTCTGATCAGTGTTTGACACGGGCACAACACATTTTTAGAATTGTCGGTGTTACATAGATGCACTCGAAACTCTTCTTGGAAAGTGCAAGAATGACAAAAGAAAACTATTGTTGTTGTGGTGGAAAATATTGTTTTAAATTTGGTAGACATAGAAGACCCATCTCTCTATCTCTCTAATGGCAATGTTGGAATATATAACAGCAAGGTTGTTTGTCAAATGTTGGTATTTAAAAGTAGTTGTTCGTGATAAGAATGAAGGTCAAACAAAAGATTATTAGCACTAATACACCTGAAAATTATATGTTTTAAATATACATTTAATGCTCATTTTATGTATATTTTTTTATGATATTGCGCTTTAATAAAAGGTATTTTGCATGTCTTTGGTTTCAGGTACAAGAAATGAATCTTTAGAGAAAATGAAGTGAAATGAGAACAAAATGGAGCAAAAATGGCACCACATAATTCGGCGTCATAGCGTCAGTTCGCGAACGTGATGGGCGCCATAACGCCACAGATTGGCGGCATAGCGTCATGAATTTGGACAAATTTTGAAAATGTGTTTGAAGTGACCCCTGGTTATTTTTAGAGTTCTATTAAATGGGACCATTGGTTGTTCGAAAAAGAGGCTCAAGAGGGCGCTTGAGTTCTTAGTGGTGAGAGTGTGTGTAAGAGAGGAGTCTTTAATTTTTTCAGAAGAGTTCGGAGATTATTTCAAGGGAACTTCCGGAATTGTTTGGTGAGAAGTCTAAGAAAAGTATTTTTTTTTATGTTCAAGTTTTTATTGTTCAAAGTTGACTTTAAATACAAATCATGTGTTGCTGTGTTATCTTCATAAATTCTAAGTTGTTTTCTTTCTTTCTCTTTGCATATGGAAATTAATCATGTGAGATGAGAATGATTTGAAGATTTCTTTTTATTTTAAATTTGTGATGGCATTTTCATCGATTCTTCACTGAATTTGTAAATTGGTCACTTGTGAGGTTAAAACCTATTGTGAAACATAATAATTTGGGAGGGTCATGATTCCACCCAACTTGTGAATGCCACACTCACCTTACGAGGAGGGCGACCACAATCTAAGGAGAGTGCAAATAGATAGAGAGATAAATTTTGATGAGTGTAGAGTTAATGTTTCTAGGGTGACAGACTAGATTCTTTTATCAATGCGGTCTTGTATTTGAATCTAAGGGTCCCTAGTAAGTCCTATAGAGAGGGCATAATGGATAATCTAGAAATGAGAGGCTATAATCTACTCAGCACAACACAAGCTGGAACAAACTTGAGATTAGTCAGTGTTCTTTGCTAGCACTGAGAGAGGGTAAAGAATAGCTATGCCCTATTTGTCACAATTAAACATGTTATATTTTTAAAACATTCACATCCTACACTAATTAAGATCTTTTTGCAAGGGGAAAGATATTTTCAGAACATTCAAACTCTTTTAAATCTTATTAGTTCAGAACATTTGCACCTACTTTCTACTTAAAATTAGATTGCGCATAAGTTTAGTTTTACTCCTTTACAAATATTTTCACACTATTCTCCTATCATTTTTATCCGCAATTTAGATAGAAGTTTTTCTAAGTCATTATAAAAAGTTGCAACTTTTCTATGAGATCGATACTGAGGTTTTTAAAAAAAACTCTATATTACTTGAAACTATGCGTATATTTGCGTAGTACCCTCAGTGTAAAAACTTATTATTTATTTTCTAAATCATTTTATTTATTCACACTAGCCGCTAAATATAATTCGAGCCATGTTTTTGACAATCTTTTGGAATATAAATATTTGTGTAATTGCGGGTTGGGTCAAGCACTATCACCAACCATAATAAATAAAAAGAACTTAATAGTATATGTCAAGCTAGTAAAGAGATTAGGTTTGAAGACCAACCCCACCCAAATATTACCCCTTAAGATGGATTAAGAATGCATGGCTGAAAACTGATCCTAAATGTTGGTGGATTCATTGCGAAGAACTACATTGATGAGGTTTGGAGATGGTTCTACTAAACATTTGTCTATCATCAAAGAAGAAGAGTTTCACTCATTCTGCATTGAATGAGGCTAGATTATACAATTGTAGCAGCTACTGGAGAAGTATGCAGTGCTTATAGAATCCTAAATGTTGGTGGAACTTTGCATTGCTAAGAACTAAATTGATGAGGTTTGGAGATGGTTCTACTTAAAATTTGTCTATCGTCAAAGAAGAAGAGTTTCACTCATTCTGCACTGAATGAGGCTAGATTATACAATAGTAGCAACTAATGAAGAAGTATGCAGTACTTATAGAGGTTGCCACCAAAGCAATACATATTGCATGATACTCAACTAATTTCAGATGCATCACTGCCAAATGAAGCAAGTTTCACATTATGTAAGTCAGAGTCATGCCTATGAAGAACATTGAAGATATAAAAGTCATGGTTATGTTTTAGCATTTTGGCAAGCATGTTAGTGTCTTGTCAATTTAAAGTCACTGTATTGTTTGTTTAAGAATCAGTCATATAATTTATTTTTAAAAAATACCTACCAATAATCAAATTTGAAATTTTGATGAAACCCTCTTATTTCAATTTTTGCAGCCATTTAGACTGATAAACTGGTCAAAACTGCCAATCAATTAAGTTTCCTAACTTGGCTGCATAGCTTGGGATTAGGCCTTGCCATTATGCTCAACCGGTTAAGTCATTAACTCACAATGTTGAACAAATTCCACAGAATAGCTTGAATCTTGCATATATGGTAGACAAAGCTACATTCATAAGTGCAAAAGTTGGGCAACATGGTCGGTAAGCTCATACCTTAAAACCAAGCACATGCTTAACTTTGATTGAGCTCGGCTGGCAGCAGCATTTTCCACATTCTAAAATGATTTCACCTAATCTCTTACCCTTCTGTGCCCAAAACTTTTTAATCAAATTACTCTTAATAGCATTTTCCAATGGTTAAGAACATTTACTAACATTTATGAAGGATGGCATGCAAAGAAAATGGCAAATATCACTTGCCATGCATTTGCATGCTTCCAAATACAATATTCCACATTTCAAGTTAGCTCCTAACCTTTCCTCAATTTTGGTCAGGCCAACCTTAGCCATTTTGCCTCTATATATGCTTACTGCTGAGACTCAACATACTTCTTTAAACAAAATTATTCAAACCTCATACTTGCTAACTTATGTGCCTTCTTTCAACCTCTAAGACAACCTTTCAAAGCTCAGCATTTGCAAATTCTTTCGAAGTGTTTTTGAAATGTACAAAGCTATTTAGTTGGAAGTAAAATTCAGAAAGATTAGTTTTGTTCTTTCTCGCCATATTTGTCTCCCACATTAAACAGTAAGTCCTTGTTTCCAGGGCAACTAAGTAGTCTCTGAACTTGGCAAGTCCTAGTGTGCATGGAGCTCCTTGATATATTATATATTTCTTTATATTCGTGCTAGCGCATCTAATACTTCTAGTTATTTCCCCTAATCTATCCTCTTATAAGGGTTCATCTTGATCATAAAAAATTAAGAAAAAAATTGTAGTTTGCCAATATGGAAAGCATATAAGGTCCAGAAAACCAGCAAGAAGCATAAATCTACATTGAGTAAAGTACCAAAATAGTCCCCTTATTATTTAGATGGAGCCATTTTAGTTCGAAAGTTTATAAAAATACTAACTTAATCCCTAGACTATTTTGATGGGGGCTAAAATAATCTTTATTGGGACTATTTCAACCAATATTAAAAAAGGCAGAAGACTAAATTGACACTTCTATAAACACTATGACTAAAATGACCCTGTAAAAAATGAGAGAGTTATTTTGAAACTTTCCTCAATCTACAGTGAACAATTTGTTCTTCCAAAATATTTGATTTCAGTGATCTAAATGTCCAACAACATTAAAAGTAATACCAAGCCCCAATTACCCTGAAGAACAGAAAAAAAATTAAGAGGTTGTTTGGGATCAATTTTTGTTTCTTATTTTTTATTTTTGAAAACAAAAAACAAGAAAAAAATATAAAAATTGTGTTTGTTTAACTGTTTTTTTTTATTTTATTCCGATTTTTTTTAAGAAATAACACATCTGTTTTTAAAATATCTAAAAGAGAAAAAGCATATTTGTATTGTTTTTAAAACACCTTAAAGAGACTCGTCTCTAAACACATATTATAAATAAGTCATGGGAAAATGCACGTCGCCGGCCGCCGCCGCCAATTGTCTCCTGCCGGTCGCCTCCGCCCGTAGCTCGTCGCAGCCACCTGCCACTCATTACCTGTCGTCGCCGCCGCCAGCCTCTTG